TCATAACGCCGCAAGTCATTTACAAAGTTGGTATTACACTAACACGTGTGAGGAATTAAGTATAGTTCTAATCTCGTTGATCACGTGGTTTAAGAAGTCTTATAAGAGGTATAGAGGTTGTCCTTTTTAATAGAATTAAGAGGAGACCACTATTTTCACCTAGTTTTATTTTATGACATTTGTGCTTTTTACGTTATCTGTGCTTTCTGTCTTTGGAATTGGAAGGATCATCGGTGACCAGGAAATTTATTTTTACCAGTCGTTACGTTTTTCTCTTATGATTGTGTCTATGTCTCTGTCATTATTTTAAAACGAGATAAGGAATTAAGTGAAAGATTACATTAATTCCATTTTATTTAAATCACTTATTAAGAAAAGTTGTGGCAGGTCATGGCGAAGGCTTTGTGTTAATCTGCAATGGTCCGACAGATATGTAATTAAAATATATTTACATCTGAAAATATTTCGCACAAAATATGGCTTGTGAAACCCAGTTCTATACTACGAAAAGCCTTGTAGAAAGCGGCCCATGTGTTGTGAACTTTTTTGATTTGGTTCTAACTTTTTGAGAATGTCGAATTGAATTTCAACATAAGGCGTTTGTTTTCTTTGTTCTATAAAAAGACCAAACACGCGGTGGTCCGTTGTAATGGATAAATTCATTTTATATAATTCAATCATTGCCAAAAATTTTTAATTAGCAATCTTGACTAGCTGCAGATTTAGAAACTAGTTACAATAAAAAAAATACAAAAGTGTCGCGACGCATATATATAATTGAAAGGTCATTTTATTGAGGTGCCTAGGTCGGATGCCTTTGTAAACTTGACAGGTTGCCTTTGTAAAACCTATTCAGTATTTTTTTCACTAACCTAGAAATTGGTAAGGAATTCGTGAAGAATTAATCTCAGGAAAAAATTTTCGATTTCTTTCTAGAATAAAATTAATAGTTTAACGTTTTTAATTAATTATCGGATATAAAAAAAAACATAACGGATAGTGATACAAATTTTATATTTTTTTAGTACTCTTAATTTATTCAATATTTATATAAGACATATTTTATTTTATAATCGTTGGCGACAGCTGTCACGTGTGGGGTCGGGTTGCGTCGATTACCTCGAACGGAGATTCGTGCAGATTGAATACGCCCGTCGGAATGGACATTTTATACGGAATCGTTATAGTATGGCAACGGTATTCTTTTCCTTTTTTCCCTCCATTTTTATTACTGATTTATACTTTTACTTATATGAACGGTATAAGTGACGGAAAGTGATTCTTCGTGATGGTCACGTTAGAACTATATCATTGGAATTACAGAATTTGAGTTTTTTTTTGTACCAACGTACTTGATTCCGAAATTTGTAAAGTAACTAGTGCTATCAAGCTTGAAATATAAGTTTGCTCTTTTTATTAAAACTAGATTTTATAATTGATGTTTAAACTAGGTCTGCTAGTCCCTTATAAAATTTGGTTGAGGGTAAGTTGTCATTCATTGATTGTTTAATCATGGTTGAGAGGTAGCTGTGCAATACGGATATATAATAATTTGTAATTATTTACCGGACTATGCTCGGTATTTCTGTGATAGAGTTAGCATCGAAGAAATCCGCAGTAGAACTAAGGTAACCAAAATAGCTCTGAAGTTTAGTAAGCTGAAATGGCGGTGGACTGGACATATAGCTCGTAGAACCGATAACCGATGGGGAAGGAACGTTCTCGAGTGGCAGCCTCGTAATGGCCATCGCAATGCAGGATGACCCCCACTAGATGGAGTGACGACGCACTTCGTGGCAGTCTGTGGGGGAGGCCTATGTTCTGCAGTGGACTCAAACAGGCTGAAATGATGATGATAACGGTGATGCAAATTTTTCGAATCAGAGAACTATTGTCATGTATACTTTACTTTACTTACCTTATTGCATATTTTTCTTTTTATTCTTTATCTAAAGAAATATAAAAACGGAAAATTCACATAAACTTATCTCAACCTTTGTAGTTATATACTTGTCCTTCATTTTATTTTATGTATTGCAACGCCTAGCAATTAATTTTATATCCACAATTATAATCAAACCTTCGATAGCGAACAAATCTATAATTACGAGACTAAATAACACTATTGCACTGAATGCAATGAAGTCGGTTTGCACGTCAGTTTATTAAAATATATAACGACCATTTGAATGTGTGCTTTTACTTTATTTTTTTTTTTATACAAGGCGGTTATTCTGAATCATTGGAATAAATAATTAGGAATTAATATTATTGATTCGTTTTTATTACCAATGTACTTGATTCTGATATTAGTGATTTGTGAAATCGGGCGACTCTTTGCCGTTTGCATCCACCTGTTGTCCGCGACTCTTACGATGTCGTGGTCCACCCAGAGGGAGGCCTTCCATCGCTACATTCTTGTGGCGTTCTAAGGGGGAGGCCTATGTTCAACAGTGGACCTTGCGGCTGATGTTGACGATGATGATGATGTGAAATCCAGCTACATGTGACACCACCAACCATGTGGGTTAAGCTATTTGTGTAACCATTTTCCGTTCCTTAACTTCCTATTTGTGTTTCATTTAGTGGTATTTATAATTAAGAATAAAAACTTAATGTGATACCTAATAAATCTTAGATTCAAAATACAAAATGATGGTTCAATTATCACGTAATATGTGACGTTAGAGTATACAATACGAATAGACCACTTGTTTTTTTCAATTCGAATCCCAGATACGTCAACCGTGTAGGCGGAACAATTACTAGTGGCAGCCTATTATTTTATTTGATTTATTTTTCATATTTTTTATGTATGGTTTACTATAAAGAAACCCAAAAACTCAAAGAACTCAAATATTCCACTGTGGTAGTTATAGAATTGTCCTTTAGATTGTCTATTGCAACGCCAAGCATTTTGTTTTACATCTACAATTATAATCGTAGCTTCGGACACCATACAATTAATTCTACAATTACATACAATTTCATGACTTAGAGACAACATTGTGCTACAAAGCAATCGTTTCTACGTAATTTCATAAATACGTGTAATGACCATTGGAAAATATGCTTTTACTTTATTGATTTTCTTTATATTCGTGACTAATAAAGTGAATTGTTGAGTAACCTCACACCACAATAGGACAAATATTTTAAATCATAGCTAGCTTTGCCCTTTTTCATAAATTACTCTTGCGTAATATTAGTGTCGCGGGAGGATTCGTTAACATGAAACCACTGATATAATTCCCCTTTATATTAGGGGGATACCTGAGGTGAGAAATCTTCAAATATTACTTAGTGTACTGGGTGGAAGACCTGGTTATATGGAGAGTTTTCAAACTAAAATTACTTCGAACTTATTTACTCATTTAGTACTTAGGTAAACCTTTTCACGCATTGAAGTTTCCAATTCGATAAGACCACTCTGTATTGCCATCATAAGGGGTCCACTAATGTACACGATTGGGCAACCCCAATTGGTCGTGAACCCAGACATAAGCACACAATTGGGACAAGCACTTTGTCGGCTTCAAAAAAACCTTTTTTTTTAATTCTACATCTACACCATCCAGTCACTAGTCCTGGGTAGGAATCGAACGTATGAAGGAAGAGGAACATGGAAGACAGTGATGGTTTATTTTCTTAGCATTTGAGTTTAATTTCATTATCATACCGTTGTTTAAGCAAATATAAATGTTATGCACAAGTTAATTATTTTAAAAGCAAGTATAAAGTCCATTGAGATGAGTGAGACAAAGCTGTGACCTATTTCATATCTAGACTTGGCAAAAAGTCATGTCAGCCAACTATATCAATATTATTTTCTGCTCTTACTGTGCTTCATGGGCCAGAAAATTATCTTTGAACGTTTTCTACGCAAAGACGAGTTGATGAAATATTTAAAAGGTTTGTGAAATTATATGAAGAATTTTATTTTTTAAATAGTTGGATTTACTAAGTAGAGAAGCATTTACTTATCAAATATATACTTAATACTTATCAAATATCAAAAAACATGTCAAGAGATCTTGAGTCCAATATTCTCAACGTCGTACACAAACAAAGGTAGATAAAATATTTAATATATTGGAAAAATTTGGTGCCGCAACCGACACTTCACAGAATAATATCAGCATAAATATGTCAGCCATTTCGAATGGCTCTTAAGCTGTGAGAGGGCGTTACAAAAGCTACATGGCGTGGTTTTGAAAAAAGTTAAGCGAGCTTGCTGTCACAGTATTCTGTTGCGAGAAATTAAAGTGAATGCTTGCATAAACCACTGAAATCGTTATCAAAACATACACTAATATTAAGTCTATAACTTCATAAAGCATAAGTAAATTGAGGTTCGTAGTTAAACTGATAATATTCGTAGGTATACATATTGATGACTCACCATTTCTAGCAGCACCCAACAATAACATATATTTAAAATTTTAGTTTTTAATAAATAATTATTATTAATTATTAATCCATAGCCCACATCAATAGATTCTTGGACGCATGTCTGGGGCACAAGCCCACCACTTGATTTTTCATATTCCATAACTTTCTTTCGCTCGAATCAAAGTATTTTTTTTGTTTTTATAATTAAAATAATAAATAAATAAAAACTATAATTTATCATAAACTAATCAAACCAAATAAATTAAATAATTGATAAAAATCCACATAGCTTACATCGGTCTCAATTGGTTAAAACGGAGCAGGACCCTTTATATATTTTAATTTGTAACATATAATCAATACATAAAAGTACAAATGTGTGCGTTTTATTGTAGCGTTTGTAATTTTTAGTGAATTTAAATAAATGTAATAAAACATAGTGGTATATAGCAAGCATAAGCAATATAGCATAGTAGTATGTAGCAAACAAGTATTTCTGATTGTAATATAATTTAAGAAGAGGAAAATAACCGTTAGTTTTTATTATTATTGTTCATAGGGTCTTCAAGCGATTCAGAGAAGTGAACCCAGATCTCGTGCCGAAGCGAATGACTGAAAACCAAGCTCATACGATAGCCGTACCTGTGGAAGAAATAGAAAAACTACCAGAACTTAAGGTATCATTCAGGAGTAGCTAATTATTTAAATTTGACAACCCATTTATAACCCTAAGGGTGTTGCAAATGTCCATGGGCCTGGGTTTTCACTTAACATCAGGTGAACCGCCAGATGGTTTGCCAATTTCTCATATAAAAAAAAGTTTTCACTGTGCTGGTGTTGAAGTGTATCTCGTGCTAAATGTGATATAAGTAAAGTAGAATTGTTCATAGTAAGGTCGACAACACCGGCATCCCCTTCGGGGGATATGCGTCCATTCATAATATACGTACATTCTAATCACACGCTACACTTTCAACATGCAAAAAGTTTGTTAAAAAATACATAAATAAAGGATCCTGCATGTTATATCAACCTGATAATAATTCAGCGTGAGTTGGAGTGCCCTATTACGAAATGGTAATTTAAAATCTTTTTACGAAATATATCAAGTTTCAATTTTCGCGGTTCTCTCGCGTTCAAATTTTTAAATTTCGTTCCCAGGAGAATCCTTTCAAGCGTCGCATCTGCCAAGTATTCTCGCACGACGGCTCCGGCAACTTGACATTTGAGGATTTTCTAGACATGATGTCCGTTTTCAGCGAGGCTGCACCCCGCGATATAAAGGCTTGGTATTTATTTCAGTATTGCCATATATATATATAAAGTTTTGACCTAGACTGTATAGAAATGTGTACGTTTATTTCGACGACGGGTAATCAACTGTATTTGTAGTGAATAAACCTGTCATTTACATCTGATGATGTGGGTTCGACTCGACTATACGATGTTGTTTATAATATCAATTAAAATATAAATTTTAACAAAAAATTTTTTAAATGTGAATCAGATACCTAGGATACTCATGGTTAGGCTTAGTTTGGAGCTAGATTATAATTAATAAAGTATGTCCTGAAGGTGTCTGTCACGTTTAAGACGTTCAGTTAACTCTCAAGATGGAGAGTGGAAGCTTTAGTTAATTATGTATAGTCCTACAGACTAAGAAGTAATAACATTTGTAATTTTAAGTTTTTCTACTGTTTTATCTAGACAATACTAATGTCTAGATAAAACTGTAGGAAAATTATCCGCGCTTGCCAGGACGTGAGATCTGTTCAAGGCATTCTGCGCAGGTTCGAATTCTGGCAGTGGCTAAAAGTTTTGCGACAGTTTTATCTACACATTTACAAATGATTACATGCAATGTTGCTGGGCTAAGCATTGTAATAAAATGCTTCAATCAGGAACATCATAATCAATATAACTGATTTAGCTAGAGCTATTTTCCTGGTTTATAGGTACGCCTTTCGGATCTACGATCTAGACGACGACATGTACATAGGCCGTGAGGATCTCCTGGAGGCGACACGCCTCCTCACGAAGGACGAGCTGCACTCGCAGGAGCGCGACGAGATTGTCGCGAGCGTGCTGGACGAGGCTGACGTGGACGGCGACGGGAGGCTTTCCTTCATGGACTTCGAGCACGTGGTAGTGCGCGCACCGGACTTCCTGTCCACGTTCCACATAAGAGTGTGAATTGTCGTTGGCTGGTAATAATAAAGCTGTGTTTTTTGCCGGGTTGTAACGGTTGGTTTTCTCTAATATATCTCCCCCCCCCCCCCCGTCTCTAATAATAAATAAAAACACTTACATATTATATGGTGAATAACGGGTTTTGCTGTGGAGGATCTTAAAAAAAAGGTTAATAAAACTTTTTTTTATTATTCACTGTTTATTGCGCAATTGATGCAGGTGCAATACAATGGTGACTGGGGATGCAACAGGTGCATGTAGGAGAAACAAACAACATTTCCTTTTGTATGTACAGATCAAACCTACGCTGACAAGTCGTCTAACCTTTATTTTTTATAAATAAGGCAGTAACGTAGTCAATTATTTTCGTTTCATTAAATAAGGAATTGTTTTGAAAATAATTTTGTAAATTGTTATCTAATACCAGAAAGTAATTCTCGGAAATGCTTTACTTCATTGAAACATCTTTCCGTTATAAAATTGCACGTAAACCCAAAGGAAATCTAAGGAAATGTTAGCGCGGCTTGTTTTATTATATCAAGATTTTCGTCTTAGGAATTCTTTTGAACTTGAAACCGCTAAAAAACTTTTTAATTTGTGGCTTTTATCACATTGTTTCTCTCTTTGTTGTTAAAGCGAGTGGAAGAGGAATCTTGATACGGTTTTCATTTAATCTTCGGTATTTCGTTTTGTATAGAATTATATTGTTGTCCTAACAAGAGAACACAGTTAAACGACAAGCGGTTAAGCCACGTTATTTTTGAACTTAAGAAAAAACACACACATGATAGTAATGCAAATAATGACTCCGTGGAGCAGTTACCAAGGTAGTGGGGGGGGGGGGGGGTTGTGGGTTCGAGCCCCACACGGAGTCGAACCGATGTGTGACTCAAAGATAGTTGTTTCACAACTGGGTGTTTGTTAAACTGGAATCAGTTTTATATGCGGGTGCTGCTAGTATTTCTCGAGGGCGTAGGATAGTCAGAAGACTCATGAACACCGCCAAAACTAGGGATACTTAATAATATGCATTTATTTCTAACCGCCTGCCTGACGTCAAACCTCCTTGGGAAACAAACTGCCAGATCTGGAACAATTATCTATGGGTCAATCAAATATTTATCTCGGGTGGGAATCGAACCTTTCATTTTTACTCGGAGCTGATTTTCATTACAAGAAATGTATTATAATCCTTCGTAGTTCACGTTCTTAACGATTTTATGGTAACCCGTAAATGAATCAACATTTCTTTCCACTGTAAGATACCAAAAAGTTTGTAGCTAAAAACTTACATTTATTTTATTAAATTTATGTGATCAATGAAAGAAATTTTTCAATCTGGTCGGTGATTTTGAAAGTTTTGTTAAATATTAACAAACTATATGTTCTTACTAGTATATTATATAGCTAACTGATAGCGATTGGAAGCTATTACGTGGCTAATTAGGCAGTGTTCGCATGACATCCTCAGGGATCCTATCGGAGACTATCGACGACAATCCCATAATTGCCAATCAGGGTTTCAATATACTAACATAATTGAAAGCGTATCCTATCTACACACGGATTACAAACCCACTATCTAGTGTGACTAAACAATTTGTATTTTTCATCAAAGTTATTTATGCTTAGGTTACGAAACCCTTCAGAGTATATTGGATAATTTTCAACAAAAAAGAAACTGACTTCAAACCCGAGAATAAAACCATGTCCTTGGATTTCTCTGGGATGACATGATCAGATCTGGGTTTCCTTATCATGGTTCCACCATTGGGATTACTCATTTCCAACAAAAAAGAATCATAAAAATCGGTTCATAAACGACGGAGTTATCCCCGGACACACAAAAAATATATACAGGTCGAATTGAGAAGCCTCCTTCTTTTTTGAAGTCGGTTATAAACTGAACTGAAATGAACTTAAGGGTACCGACGTTACAAAAAAGCTGAAACCTCGAAACCTCTATTCGAAACCTCTTTTTTCTTTGAAAACATTCAAAATCTTCAATTGGATATAGAATGATGTTCCTGCGGCGTGTTCGTATTGATTCTTATTGTTTTTGTATACTTACTTACCTATTGTAATTGATGTATATCATAACTTGGCCAAACAACGTATTTCCGTGCTTAATAATAATCATGTAAATCAGACTAGTAACCCTGGACTTGCAAGCGTACCTGCCGAAATTTAGACTGTGTTAAGTGTTACCTAGAAGTTGGTCGTCTTAATTTTTTTTCCTGGTACCAGGATTTGAACCTGCGTTCTTTGGAATATGCTATGCTTTGGATAGCAACTCGGCTAAACTGCTATCTTCGCACCGTCGTCCTCTTAGTTTCATGAACGGCGGCCATCTTTGGTTTCTCTGAAGAAACACTGCCTGATTGTTTTACGCCAAAACCTTACTAAACTAAATTTAATCGATAGCTTGTATCGGAAATTGGAATTATGAACGTTCTCGTACAGATAAATAAGTAGAGTTAAAAGCATTCTTTAGTTCAACCTTCAGAAGTTGTTTAGGTTAGAATGGAAAGTACAGTTGCTTCACATTTTTGCTTCACCTGTGCTTCCAAACCCTAGTTGAACAGGCTGGAATTTTGTATTACGCCTACATGCTAGTTTTGAAGTTAAGCGTAGAAAACTAGAACTTTTTTCTTGAAGGCATTTGGAATTTACCATTACGGAAAGCATTAAGTTGTACAGTTTTGGAATGTCGCGAAGGCGGAAGGATTTACAAGATTTTTCAGATGTTGTAGCGTAATACCACCAATTCCACTAGAAGGACCACTTGAAATTTATCTGTTTGTACCGGTAATTTATCTGTCCATTTGTGCAACAGCAGAAGTTGATGCATCGCCCTACCACAATGAAAGACTCATTGTAATGTTATGGCGACAGGGCTGATCGTGTGTTATATTGGGGACGAAACAAGTTGGTAAAATGGATATCTGTATCTGTGGACTTATACTTTATGGTCCAAAGCTGTGAGACTTGGAAAGGTATATTGGTATATATGTTGATCCACAATTTCATTCACTTCCTAAGAGAAAACTTAAATCATGCGTCTATATAAAACAATCGCTACAAATAATAGAAAAATTAAAGCACAGAAGACAGTGCCAGTTTCGGACAGGTATTTTCCGAATTGAAGAAAATCTGGTTACAGACGTCGCTATATCAAAATGGAATTTGTTCGGATTGATCCCCTCTGTAGGGATATAAAACGTAATAATGCCGCGATAACAGGCTTGACATCAGTGACCGAGAACCAATGCTATAACAAAACAACTAGACATGCCTGTTTGTTATCAAAATGCATTTCAACTGTTGTATTTAAAAAGAAAATAACAAGTATTTTGTATTGTTCTTACTTATATCTGAGTCTGATCCACTGCAAATTCATAAAAATTGTCGAGACTTGGAGGTCCTCCAATATTTACAAATACACTTCATCTCATATTATTTCACTAGCAGCTGAGCGCTTGAGGTGAAAATCCTAGATTATAGAAGTTCATAGAAGAGCATTACATGCACCAGTTCAATTTTTGTGATACATACTTTTATCAAAACGCCTAATATCAAAATTACAAATATTATACTATATATACGTTGTCCTAGCCTCTAGGACAATAGGTCTTTGGTCTAGTTTTCTAGTCTCCAAATATGCAACAATATAAAAGTAAAAAAGAAAAGTAACAGGCTACATGCCGGTTACTAACACCGGTCTCCTCTGTACGGAGGGTTTTAAGTAATAGTCCACCACGCGATCAGAATTCGGATTGTCTGATTTCACATGTCTTCTAAATAATTTTTTCGATATTATTTCGAAAATATGCAGCTTTTCATCCGATATTTTCCTTCGCCGCTGAGTAAGTGATAAATCTGCACTATAAACAATTTCATTTGTGCTGGCTCCGGGTTTGAACTCAGGTTGCTCGAGTTTTTTTTTAATTATAAGCCACCAGACTCTGAGCTATCACAGCTTTCAGCAATGTAATTATATGCATTTAAAAAATCCGCAGTGTTGTGCCGAAAAATAGTAAAAAGAAATCAGTCCGGTTTAATATTTTGTATATCGTTGTAAAGATCGTTTTACGTCAGCGTAACGTCCGATTGAATTTGTCACAAATGCAAAAATTCCTTTCCTTACGACATTGTAATCTAATCGTTCATTAAACAAATACTAGTTATAAATGTTCAAGTGATTTCAGAATGTAACGTTTGTAGATTCATATTTAATCTGTTTGTAGATATGAAGTCTTATGCTTGGATAAATTGTGTTCAAAGCTAGTCAAAATTTCTTTGTTCAATATAGGCTTAATTTAAGGTCTTGTTGATTCCGCTGTCTATCTGTCTATCTACCTGCCACCAGGCTGTATCTCATGAGCCGTGATAGGTAGACAGTTGAATTTTCACAGATGTATGATGTATTTCTATTGCCGCTATAACAAATACTAAACAACAGAATAAAAAAAAGATTTAAGTGGGGATTCCACACAACGGACCATAATTTTTTTGCAGTTTTTATACATAATATTACGGGCCCTTTGTGCGCGAGTCCGCCTCTCACTTGGCCGGTATTTAATTATGTAAGTATACTTATTATTAATTTTTTTAATATGTTTTTTTATTATTTAAGGATGAAATATGAGTAATGTCCCAGTTTTCCCAGGATCCCGGTTCGGACACCAAATTTGTAAGAATTGTATTCTCTCCGTCTCTACTTTTTTTTTGAAAAGAACCTCTTATATTTTAATTATTACTTTAATAAATTTAATTCCGTACTTTAGATAATTACACACAACAATGTTACAAAAAATGTTAAAATAATTTGAAAATTTACTTTACCCGAGATTTCAGAGAATGAAACATATCATTCGAATATAACGGTAAATTTACCGAAAAAAAATATTATAATAGCTCGGTCGGTAATCGGGCGGTCCCGAAACAGTAGGCCGTGGTTCGTGTCACGATCATTTACACACATATTTGTTTCTTCTTTT